TTTCTGCAATGTTTCATCTTTTTTTTTCTTGTTCACAGTACCTAGAACAGATCTGTATCTGTGGAGGAAATGAGAAGACGGTGACTGTGGGTTGTTAATGAAAACACCAAAGCCTGGCTGGTGGTATGCCCATAACTCCAGCACTTGGGAGCTGAAGGCAGGAGGGTCGAGAGTTCAAGGCCATCCTCAGCTATACAGCCAGGTAGTTGGAGATCTTCCATCTCCAACAAATGTGGAACCCAGGTATGGTGACCTATACCTATAATTCAAGAGGCTGAGGCAGGAGGATCATAGGTCCAGGGGCAATCTGAGCTATAAAGTGAGTTTTAGTCCAGCCTTGTCTCAAAACAAAACAAAACAAAACAAAGTCAAGATTTCTATGCACTTTAAATACTGGCTCCTATGTTACTATGTTCAGTTTACATACCGCGTGATTGTAGTTGAAAGGCCTCCCCTCAAAGCCCCGGCACAGGTTTTGGAAACGGCTCACTGTTCCAGTGGGCTTTGTCTGCCACCTAGTGGCTGTGTGGTAGCTGCAGGCCACGTGCGCTGGCTCTAAATGGACTTGGCTGTGTGAAACATACTTGCCTTCAGACGCACACCGCTGCCATACTTGATCAGACAACTGTTTCCTTCAGACGCACACTGCTGCCATACTTGATCAGACAACTGTTCCCGGGCTCCTGGCGAGAAGGCAGACCGGTACAACTCCCTCTATATCAGTGGCTCTGGTTCTCAACTTGTGGGTCGCTGCCCCTTTGGCAAACCTCTGTCTCCAAAATATTTACATTACAATTCACAAATGTAGTGGAATTACAGTTATGAAGTAGCAACAGAAATAATTTTATGGTTGGGGGGTCAGCACAACATGAGGAACTGTATTGAAAGGTCGCAGCATTAGGAAAGTTGAGAACCACTGCTCTAGAGGTAATGAGGAAACAAACGCCTGTCAGAGTTTCCTCTCCCCCAGCAGTGCACCTGCAAGAGACTACGTGGGCATCACACCCTCAACCACCCCAGACACGTACGAGGTGTTTGTGATTACAAATGATTAGAAACTCCCTGAGATTCCCCGTAGACGGGTGTGGCAGGATATTCAGAGGTAACCTGCACACACATGGGCGGTCCCGAAGCTGGTTGGAAAAATGAGATGTGTTCTTAGAAAAGCTGTGAAGGGAAGAAACTGGCATCCAACAGAGGGTGAAGCATGAGAAATACACAGTGATCAGAGCAAAAGGAAAAGACACCGGATGATGGAAAATGTAGCACACACTGCAGAGACCTGCTGCCCTCAGGGCTGTGCCTGGGAAGCCATAGAGAGAGAGAAAGACGGCATCAGAGGAGAAAAGAGAAGCGCTTCCTCGGGGCACCTTCTCCAAAGCTCTGACTCTCGGAGCCTTGGAAACAGCTCACACGACCTCATGTGACTTTAAGTACATAGTCATCAGAGCCAGGCAGAAGTGGGGTCCTAGATGGACTGGAAATACTGCCACAGGGAACACACCGCACCGCAGACACATCTCGGGGTTTGTGGCAGCTTCTCTCTAGTGTGGCCGTTGACCATCTCCCACAACTCAGTGCTCCCCCGATGATCCCACCCACAGATGATCCCGGCTCATGTTGGGAGTCCCAGCCATGCCAACCCACCCACAGGTGATCCCTGGTCACGTTGGGAGTCCCGTGAGTTTCTGGAGCTGGGTGCTAAGGGGAAGATGATCCTCGTTACATTATAAGTCACAGCGTTTCCACACTTGCTTGTAGAGGGAATGGGCAAACAGGAAGAGGTCCTAATGAAACATCTCCCTGAACACAGAGAAAGAGGCAATCTAGTGAGCAAGCATGCTAGTGTGCTGAGGCGCAGAGGGTCTCCTTTCTGGCATGTCAGGAAGGCCTCACTGGGACTAGCTGCTGAGTGGAGTCCAGAATGGCAGCCAGGTCAGCGGAGGAGAAGCTGGAGGGTGGGGGGTGGGGTGAGGGGGTGGGGAGTGTGGGGGGGTGGGGGGGTGGCGGGTGACGACCAAGGCAGTGCAAAGGTCCTGAGGCAGAGATGAGCTTGGCTAAGCATAGCTGGGAGGAGACTGGTGTCAGAGCCAGGAGATAGAGTCCCTCAGGGTCTCTCAGGCAGGGATATGGGATGATATCTGCGGCCATGTGGGAGAAACCTGAGAGAACTGAACCCAGATGGGAAACCTCCCACACTATAATAATTTGCATATTGTAATTTGAATATTATATTTACTCTTTTTTATTTTTTTTATTATTTATTTTAGTATTTTGAGACAGAGTTCCTCTGTGTGACAGTCCTGGCTGTCCTGGAACTCCCTTTGTAGACCAGTCTGGCCTCGAACTCACAGAGATCCACCTGCTTTTGCCTCCCAAGTGCTGGGATTTAAGGCATGTGCCACCATGCCTGGCTTCGTTTGCTGTTTTATTGTCTGTTTCCCAGAGAATACACTACAGCATAATGTGAAATTGCTTTGAAAATGCTCACCATTAACTCAAAGGTTTTAAAAAATTGTACAGGCCAGGTGTGGTGGTGCACATCATTAATCCCATCACTTGGGAAGCAGGTAGGCAGATTACTGTGAGTTCAAGGCTAGCCTGGTCTACATAGTGAGACCTTGTCTCAAAAAAAGAAGCAAAAAATTATACTGGACTAAAGACTATTCCAGCCATGTGACCCAGCCCATGCCCTTGAGCATTTCTGCCAAGGAATGAGAACGTATGTCCACACAGAACCTGCCTGTGCACAGCCCTCTGCGGCACCTGGAAGTGACCACAGTGTCCCTCCACAGAGCAGGGGCCTGGGTGCTCAGCCTGTTCTCTCCATGCTCTCGTCTGCAGCTCTCAGGAGGTGCCGCAGCCAGCATAATCGCTGATTCATAGTGCAGGCTGGAACGATCCGAGCCTGGCATGGGCATCCAGGAGAGGCGCTGTGCTAGCCGTCCATGCTGGGAAGCAAAAGGACAGAGAGCACAGGACACAGACCCCTTAACCATGACCTTGGCAATTTGTCCAGCCCGCCTCTTCACTTGGTGGCTACAGCCTTTAACTTTCACACTGTCAACCTGGGTGGTGTTGTTGCACGCCTTTAATCCCAGCAGGACCAGGTGGTTCGAGGCCAGCCTGGTCTATACATCAAGATCCAGGACAGGCACCAAAACTACACAGAGAAACCTTGTCTCGAAAAGCAAAAAAACAAAAACAAAAACAAACAAACAAAAGAAGCAGTTTCTCATACTTGATCCTCAGCTCTTTAATTCTCTGGCCCCATTTCTATGGCTCAAGGCCCAGGAGAAGGCGGGGTCGAATGTGACGTATCAGGAGCTGCCTGTTGCATACACCGACACAGTAGACTTGTTTTCTATTGCTATGTAGGAAAACTACCAGAAACCTCATGGCTTCAATGACACAGTCCCTCTGGGGCCAGGGGCTACCCCCAGGCCAGAGGTTCCCTGTTAAAGGTCCCCCAAGTCGGCAGCAGGTACCAGCCTCGGCATGTCACTCAAGGCTCTGTTGCTCCTTCCAGGTCCTGCCTGTGGTGAATCCATCCTTGTTGAATGGTAAGAGCCCTGTTTTCTTTCTGCTAATTGGGACCCCTCTTGGATCCTAGAGGCTGTCCCCCACCTGCCACTTGACATGTCTCTCAATATTTCAATTTCCTTCCCCAGGGCCACCAGGGGGAAGACTGTTGATGAAGTGTGTCAGCATCATCAACGGAGCACAGAAGAGAGCAAGCTTTCTCCGCGGTCGCTCGGGCAACTCTGAGAAGCGTTCCATTCTGTTGCAGTCACTACGCCTGCCCTGGTGGCATCAAAGCAGCCACCAGTGGCATTTAAGTTAACCAGTGTGGCTGGGCTCTGGGGAAAACAAGACACTGACATGTCATTTCATGTCATAAGAGATTATTTGCTTTGATTTTTTTCAACCACTTAAAAATATAAAAACAACGAATAGCTTGCAAAGCCACAGAAAACCAGACACAGGCCAGGTTTGGCCAATGAGCTTGTGTACCTTGGCAGCTACAGGTGTGGCGACTGGCTGGAGAACATCAAAAATCTACCCGTAACGAGACATGGAAGCCACCCTTAGCCCTCCCAATATTACCATTATTCCGTTGCCTGACTGGATTCTTCAGTGTGTGCTGTGAAAATAACTCATGCTTCACGTCATCAGCTCCTCTCACTTTCCTCGTCCTCTAGGCTAAAGCAAGCTCAGTTAACATTCACAAGGAGGCTCACAGGCACCTGCAAGTCCAGTTTTGGGGATCTGGCACCCTCTTCTGCCCTCTGAGGTCACCTACATGCTTGTGGTATACATACAGACAAGCAGGTACATACATATACATAGAAATACATTTTAAAAAGACCGATTTGAGAACTCTTCTTTAGTTCATCTATTTCTTAAACCCAAAGCACACGAGGCATCTCCTCCCATCCCTAAGTCCATGCAGACAACCTTGACCTTGGGGTCCTTGTGCAAGTGCTGCCCCCCGCCCCCCGAGCTGGGACTGCAGACGTAGGCTGCTACACCCAGCTGTTCCTCTGCTCTTCAATCCAACTACAGCGTGTGTAATTGCTAGTTTGCTAGAAGAAGAAAAAGTTTGCAACACCTCAGGTCTGGGATGGAATGAATAAAAAGATTTTCCTGGTTGTGAGAGAAGCAAAAGATTCTAGAATTGTCTCTCTTGACTAATCACTGTCATTTTAAATCCACAGTCAAAGTTAGACTGTGGAATGGAATTAATCATTTTGAATTGGATATTTGCAGATAGTATATAGAAACCAACTGTGTCCGGGAAAACGTCTGCACCTGCCGCCAGACTCGAGCCCGGCAAACCCCAGGCCCAGTGATCTGTGTTCAGGAGCGTCCTTGTGCACATCTGTGGATAACTGGGAAATGGAACACAGTAATGGCTCCCAGGACTACTGGGACTTGCCATCTTAAACTCCAATTAAAAACAAAAAGGGTGAGGGGAAAAGATCTTACATGGGGGACTCTTTCTTCAGAATAGTCTTTATTAGTTTGGATACTGTCTGTCAACACTCGACTTATCTTCTCTCATATTTTGATATAAGCCCATTCACTCAGACTCCTCCTCTCCCCATATCTCATATATTGTGACATTATTATGCGGGTCCATGGGTATATCTGGGATCTGCAGCCTGGGGTTACTGCCAGTTGCCATGGAGACTTTAAGATTCCGCACCTTGGACACAAATTTCACCAGTTCCATCTCGAGCTGGGTTAAAGTATTGAAAGTGAAGTCTTTGCTGGGGGAAACATTTTGAATTTTCTTTGGTGGAGAGCGAAACTGACAGCTGCGAAGGCCAGTAGGATTCTGCTCCTGTCAAGAAAGATATTAGGGTGAATCACTCCATTGGCTTCACTAGTTCCAACGCAGTTCTCAAAGTTGGGCTCATCTAAGAGGTAACACAACGATAAACCTAGTTCGGACGTTGGCAAACTGTGTTCAAATTGGCCTGCAACTTGTTTTTATAAATAAAGTTTTATTGGCACACAGCCAAGCTCAGTTATGTATGTACCAGCTGCGGTTGTTCGCAGGCTTGAACGGCAGAGATGAAGCAGCGGCCACGGAGACGATATGGGCTGCAGAGCTGAAATGATTTCCAGCTGATCCTTTAGAGGCAGCCTCTGCCCCAGCCAGAATGACTCATGTTGTGTATACATGGGTTTACATGTGCATGAGTACACGTGTGTGGAGGGTGGCACTGGCTTCTTCCTCCACCACGTCACTTTATTTTCTGAGACAAGGTCTCTCACTGACTCTGGAACTCCAGAACTCGGCTAGACTAGCTTTTTAACAGGGTCCTTCTGTCCCCGCCCTGGCCCGGCTCTAGGGTTACAGGTGTGTGCCACCACGCCTGCCTGACTCTTACATGGGTACTGTGGATCGAACTTGGGTTCTCAAAGTTGCACATTAAGCACTTTTGAGACGGAGCCATCTCCCAGCCCCTGGCCAGTGTCTTGAAATGTCGGGTTTGACTACGACTGAACCTCTGTCCCAATGCTTCCTGAAGAGCTGCTGAGACACCGTGGGGACACTGGTCACTACTCTTTACCCTAGGACAGGCCTCGAAATTCCTTTACAGAAATAAAATTTCCTTTGGTTCAGAAATTTGTGATGAGTCAAAAGCAGGTGTGTGTGAGCCTGGCTCTGTGAGCAGATCCGACGTGAAACACCAAGAGCTCTTGCATCTACTCTCAATTTGGAAAAACAAACAAAAGTTACTTCACAGAAAAACTGTGAGCTGTTTAGTAGCCCGTCCCAGGCTGTCCCATCTGCCATGGATGTGGAGACTGCTACTGTCACCGGGGAAGCAGATTCACCCAGCTTTCCCCGGGAGCGTGATAGGGTTTTCTGGTCAGACACTAGTCGTCCTTCCCGCCTCTAGGAACAGAACCTGCATTTCTGAGAGCCAATGGCTGTGGTGTGAGCACCACACCCTTACCTTATTCTTCTCACTGTCTCCTCGAAACTTCAGCACCACATATATCACAATGACGAAAAATAGCCAGAGCCATTTACTCCCAAGCCAGCTTTGGGTGTGCTCTGGAAGATTCTGTCTAATCCGGAAATGTCCTCCACAAGGCACCTTCCCTGGGCTTTCCTTGGTTTTCTCCCTCAGCGAAGAAAACATGAAGGCGCAGGCGCAAGAGATGCACAGAGGCAGGAACAGGAACCATCTCAGCGTCCGCATGTTGAGCAGAGGCGGGGCGGGAAGCTGCTCATGGTGGGTCTGTCTGCCGCCGTGCCAGAGAGACTGGGGACCTAGTGTTGGGTCCTGGTGATGTCACAGAGGGCCCTGAGCTGACAGCCCCAGCCATTGTGATGCCTTTAGCTTGAGAAGACTGAGGTTCATGGCAAGTAGCCTGCCTAGCAGGACTTCCAGGGAGGAGCAACTTCCGGAAGACAAGAGAGGAGGGAGTTGTCTCCTTGCCAGATGTTCTTTCTGAGCTTGGCACACTGCTGGGAGAGGCCATCATCTATTTCTGATTTCATTTATCTGATTCAGACATTGTGGTGAACAGCTAATGTGCCCCCTGGAGCTGGGTCCAGTAAGAACCAAGGTTACCAGCCACAGGTTGCTGGTTAAGGGTCATGGATCTCTCCTTTGGCCTGCACCAAAACCTGTGACTCATCAGCATTATGGGGACTGTGACAGGGGCTGGGGAGATGGCTCAGTAGGGAAAGTGTTCACTACGCAAACGTAAGGGCCCACTTTTAGTACCCAGAACATGTATGAGAAAGCTGGGTGCGGTGGTGTGCTCTCACAACTGCAGGACTGGGGAGGCAGGGACCCGCCAAGCTTGGGTTTGCTGGCTACCCAGCCTAAGTACTTGTGGAGTTCTGGGCCAGTGAAAGATGATACAAGTGGACAGCATCT